TTTTTGGAGCAGATCTTAATTTTTCTCCCCAGCCTTAATTCTGTGGTCATATTTCCCAGCTGTTGGCAAAAAGAAGAGCCAATATGATGCAGTTACAGTACTGGAGAAATTTTAAAAAGGCCCAGACACCAGTGGGTAATTTTGGAGTGGAACTGCTGTTCCATGGGCTGGCTGTACAGGCTGGAGCTTGCTGTCTTTGGGGCTGTGCTGGGGCTGTGTTTGCAGTGGGTGGGTGAGCTCAGTGTTACTGTAGCTGGGGCTGCTCAGCTCTGAGCCCTGTCGCCTGAGAGGAAAGGGTGTTTGCAGAATGGGAAGGCGATGGACCTGCTCTCTGTTTGCCAGAGTGGTGTTTGCACGGGGAGCTCCATGCCTGGTTAGTCTCAAGGCTGGGGATTCCTGTGAAGGCTGTTATCTGATGAGCCACTTAAGGACAACATGCTGGCCTGTGAAAACAGACCAAACCCTGCATACTCATTGGCTTCTCCAAAGTGGGTGGAAAAGGTTCTTCAGGCTGGCTCTGCCTTCCAGAGGTTTAGCATCCTCCAGGCTGTGCCATGATGCAGTGCTCCCATGGCATCATTCCTCCATCTTCTCCCTCCTTAGCAGCAGCATCTAAGTGCAACAGGGTCTGACCAGCCTGGGGTGAGCTGGAGCCACTGGTGGCTCTGCGCCGTGAAATAGCAGGTCCGCTTTGCTGTCTTCGTGCCTCTCCTGATCCATGGGTATCTCTAGGACAATGAAAATCCATTTCCTAAGAGCCAGCCCTTGGTGTCACAAGGAGGGATGGGCACATCCTTCACCTTCATCTATAGAGCCTCCCTGTCCCGAAAACAAGCCATACAGCAATGAGCCTCACTTCTCTGCAGAGATTGCTGTGCCCCACAAATGGCAGCTCCATGCACATCATCTGCTCAAACACCCATAAGATCCTGTCACCTTTTGGTCATCCCAGCTTTCAATAGGGCCCCTGACATTACTACCAGTGTTTGTTTTTTGGGCACCACCAGTGTGCCAGTAGTCCAAAAACCACAGGAAGAGACATGGTCCCCCACGCCCCCTCCCAGAACAGCTTAGCACGGGAGCAACTGAACTTTCTCATCAGACCTAGCTCCATGGGTCATGAAATAACCAGCTAGCAGTTGCCCATGTTTTGTGCACAGGATATTCCCAGGGCTTGCTGTTTCGCCGGTGGAAGGTTTGCTCTGCGATTTAAAAGCTATTGTAGTCTGGAGCCTGTTTCCGAGGCACTTCCCCTCTGGGATCTCTGCTGGGTTTGGCTATGGACCAACGCTCTGAATGTTCGAGGCCACGGGCTGGGCAGAGCTGAGCTGCACTGCGAGCCCTGTCCCTGAACCACTCTGCTATAAACCTTGCAGAGGAGAGGAGCCTGGGGAAAGGAAGTGCATCCCCCTAATCTGCGGGGGGAACATCCACCCAAGAACCTGACCACCCCCAGGAGCATGCCTGCTAGCATGAGCTGCAGGAGGCCAGAGTGAGATGAGAACAGCCCCAGGCTAGGCTGGTCACTGAGTTCAAGGCTTTGGAGGTGTCAGGCTGAGTCTGGCTCATTGTTGTTATTATTATATCTTAGCTTTGCAGTGTCATGTAGAGCCACACTTATGTACCAGAAGCTGTTGTGCTGGGTCCTGCACAGAGGGGCATGTCTGCATGTGGGGTATTGGTGTGTAGGGTCTGGTGGCCCTTCCTGTGAAATGGTGCTATTCTCTGGGAGGTCCTCAGCTGATTGCTGGGCTACAGAGCCAACGGTCCCTCTTCAGTTGGTGTCTTCTGGGGTAACCAGGAGCTCTGCTTGGCCAGACCCCTTGCCTGTCATCTCCCCATGCTCCTGGGTGCCATGGGGAGCATGGGGCTGGGACTCAGACTGGGAGAGCATCTCCAGGGGTGAGCTTTTCCCATGGAGCAAAAGGGACCTTCTCCTGCTGCAGCAAGGCCCACTTGGGGCTTGTGTTGGCTAGTCTGGGTCCTCCTCTGCAATACATGCCCCTTGTTTTCCTCCTGGTCTCCCATGGGCAGCACTGGCATGGTGCGGTCTGGTGCTCGCGTGGGGTCCAGTGCTGCCCTGGAGCTGTGGGCTCACCGGAGGCTCCCTCGCCAGCCAGCACGCAACACCTGCAATAACATGTTTTTCAAAACGCTGGGGTGAAGGCAGTCAGAAAGCAACTGGCAGCCACTTCAGTTGCTCGCTTTATCTGGTCGCAAACGCCCCCTTCACGCCATCTGCATCCTCCTTTCCCAGCACTGTGAGATTAAACCCTGTTTTCTCTTTGTAAATATTGGCAGGCAAAGCGGCAGCCTCCCTGAATGAAAACAATAGCAGGCAGGCTGGTTCCCAGAGTGAGCCCTGAGCAAGGCAGCGTGCACAGGGCACGATGCAGCCTGAGCGTTAGCTGACCTCCCTGCTCCAGCCAGCTCAGTCCCCTGGCAGGGGCTGGGCTCCAGGGACACGTGCCAGCTTTATCCCATATAAAAGTCAGCCCTTCACATGTCTGCCCTCCATCTGGCTGGATCCCAAAGGACTATGCAAGCAGGATCCCATGCTTTAGAGGCAACCAGGGGTGCTGAGCCCCTGTGGGTTGGGCTGGCTCTTTCCCCAACGCAGTTGCACACTATCTGGGAGGAGCAGGTTGATAAAAGAGGGAGAAACAGAGCTCTTCCCTTGGGAAATGTGACTTGGAGAGGTTAAATATCACTGTGAAGGAATCAAGTGCTGAGATCTCGCTGCTATAGTGCAGAAATGATAGTAAAATATGTACAGATTGGATAAATGAAATTTTGGCTGTTCATGTTCCCCATCAGCCTTACCCATAATACCCAGGACACACATCGGGGTGGTTGACTTTCTCCTCTGTCCTTTGGACCAGAGGGCAGTCTCCTCTCCTAGCTTTACTATTCCCAGGCAGCTGGGGCTGGGGAGTCTCACCAGCTTGCTGAGGCTGAGCAGGAGGGAGAGGGGCATGTTGGTCTTAACAGCCAGTGCGGGCTGAGCATCACTTTATGCTAAATTAAATCAAAGAGATGTGGACTGTAATTGAATCAGCAAGGGGCTGCAGAGCAGGGGTAGGTGAGCTGTGCATCTGTCACGAGCAAGGAGATATGAGATGTCCTTGGAATTGCTTTAAGACTCATGCCGGAGGAATTGCAGAAGCTCGGTAGGGATGGGGGTGTGCAGTAGTTAGAACATCAATGTGGGCACTGGATGCCTTGCAGCTGTGCTGATGTCTTTTAGGTTTCACTGAGTCCTTGCTGTCATCTACTTCTGGCCCCAAGTGCAGGGCAGGGAAATGCCAGCCCAGCAGATTGGTACCTGTCCTTTCCTCTGAAAGTAGGAACCATTAGGTATTTTCCTAGGAATGAGTGGATATCACAGTGGTACAGCCTGGTGATCTGCTGGTGTGGGACTGGGAGAGACTGAGACATCTGGGATGGGGAAGAGCACTGTGACGCTCCAGGGGATGCTCAGAGCATCGCTGCAACTCAGGATCTGGGGGGCAAGGGGGAGCCCTGCCACCTTGGGTCCCTAAATCACAAACCTCTATTCCATTTTGATAATGTTTGGTAGGCCTGAGCATACATTTTCAATGTTTTAGCCTGTTTCTGCTGTAGGAATAGATGTCCAGACATAAGAAAGATCAAATCTTCTCTTTCTTGGAAGTCTCCTTGGAGGGGCAAAGGACTGAACTAGAGATCTCTTTTTCTCGAGGTGATGTGGGAAGTTGGTTTATTTATGGCTTTAATAGGGATTTTGGGTTAAACATGAATGAATCAGCATCCAGTGAAAACAGTGTTTTAAATGGTGTGACTAAAAAGCATTTCCCCTTTTGGTTGTGTTGTGCCTCTGGAGTCAAAAAGCTGCAAGTTCCTTAGTTCTTTCTGACCTTTCTGGGAAAAACAGGCTAGTGGAGACCTGCCCTTCTGGAAGAAAATCCTAGGGGGAAATGAAAAGCCTTTTTCATGCCCTTTAGTGGAAGATTCTTTTTTCTTTGCAGTTCTGTCCTAAAGTTGTACTTTTTTTTTTTTTTTTTTTCCCTTTTCATATCTGGCCACAGAAGGAGATGATCCAGCCATGGGCATTTCTGGACCCTTTTTAAAGCTAGACCTGCAAAATCCCAGTGGGCAGTAAATGTTACTAACGCTTAATTTTTAGCACAAGAGATGAGTGGTTTAAGGGCTGGGAGACACTTGCTGAGAGAACTTAGTCAGAAGGTTTCTTAAGTGAGTGGGATCTGGCTCAAAGAAAATACGTCAAAGAGGAACAGGTCCGTATCAAAAACGGTGTGTGCAGAGAAGGGGCCAGGGCATAAGGAGGGGTGGGCAGGCTCTGAAGCTCAAGGTGGGGCTCAGCTGGGATGAATTCCTATTGTTTGTCTCAATTCCTTCCTCACTGCATACTGATTGCAGACAGTGTGTGACCAGAGCTGGAGCATCATCCTCAAAACAACCCCTGATGCATGCTCTAAGTAAGGAGCAGACCAGGTGAGGCTGGTCTGGAGCTTCTCCTGAGGTCTGCCTTCCTCCCAGCCCCACCCAGCCCAAAGGCGCTTGTTTTCATCAGTTCACGCTATTGAGCCTCATTAATGTTTGTGCTATTGCGCCTCATTAATGTTTGCGTACAGCAAAGAGCAATTTCCACCCTCTAAATTAGCTTAATAGAGACGTTTCCACTGTGGTGGCACAGGGTGCAGAATTGCTGGTGCTCTGCCCGTGCCTTACAGCTCTGCTCCCACTTACTAAAGCAAAACTCTGCTGCTCTGCACCACAGCAGCCTTTCACCCTCTGTCTGGAGGAGATTTCACTGTGAAGCTGTTTTCCCATCTATTTTGCTTTCTCGTGTCCAGAGCGCAGGACACTGGTGTGAGCTCTCCTGTTATACTTACATTCATCTGACAGAGTGTGTTGGAAGCAAGTAGTTTGCAAACAAAGCCAGGGCCTGTGACACACAGCTAATGACCTTCTCTCTGCCTGTGTTTCCTTTACGTCAGAAGTCGGAGTGCTTATTAAGTTTGGAGGCTTACTCCCAGGAGCAGAAGAAGAGGATCTGCTGGTGTCTGGCTGAGAACATCACCAAGCAGCAACATCCGGCATCAGCTCCTACAGAGAACAAGGTAAGCAACCCATGGGAGAGCTTGAAAACCCCACTCGGAGCATCGCAGGGCTCTGCCCATGGCAGGGGCTTTGCTCCAGTGACATTCCTGCCAGGCGAGCTGCTCTGGAGGCTGGTTTTTTGCCAGGTGAGGAGCGAGTTTGTATTCAGGCACTGCTGCGTCTGCAGCTTCCTGCCCTTCTAATAAGCAGTTATTCCATTTGCATCCGCTGACCCGAGTTGAGGCAAACTCTAGTGAGCAGGCTGCTTCTGACGCCTCCCAGCATCTGTATTTGGACAGCTGAGGCTGTGCAACCTGGTGTATGGCCTTCTCCAAGAGCTCAGTTCTAGGGCAGGACTGAATGCAGAGGGAGAGGTTCAGGCCATGATCTCTGGGTCCTGATTAAAAGGCCAAGGTCATGGGAGCAGCTGTGCGAAAATGCGCTCCTTCTGTGCACTCAGATGGGCTCAAGTATTTGACCTGAACCCCACAGATGGCCTCAGAGCACAAAAAGGTCATTTGATGAGTGCTTTTTTTCATACCTAGCAAGGCAGCACCAGCTCTTTTCCCACACTGAAGAGCTTCAGCCTGGCCCAAGAGTGTTGTCTCAGCAGTGCTGGCAAGAGAAATGTGTGCGTGGAGTGGATTTGAAGAACTGTTGGGCACATCTGCCCTGCATGGATGTAGTTGACATCTCCTGTCTGCCTGGTTTTGGGGCTGGAGCTTCCACCAAGGAGTTGTCTGGGACAGTGGCAATCTCTGCTGGAGTCATTTTGTCCCTTGGGGATTTGGTTCGGATCGTTGGTGGGTGACCCACTACTCTGGAAGAAGAGAAACACAGTGCTGAATGTTTAAAGAGCTTTAAGTGAGGCAGATGGGGATCTCAGGGGTAAAACCACCCAGATATCGCCCCTTGGCTGGTGCATGGTGGTGGAGCAGCTCCTGCCCCACGTCAACATGTGGATACAGCCTTGGTGCATGGTCTGGTCTGGCTCACTCTTGCTATATGTGTGGGCAAAAGCAGGAGCAGGCAGCTGCGCTGATGCCTGAATCCGGAGGCAGAGTGATGTAGTTTTTGCTCTGCAGTGTCCAAACTGGGTCAGCGCAAACATCTCCACAGGAGACAGAGCCTCTGGATTCCTTTTTCTGCACGCTTCAGATGTACTAAAATAGCAACAACATACAAAGCCTGAGAACCTAGTTACCAACCAAACCTCTAGAAATGCAAATAACCCAAGGCAGCTAATTCAATGAGGTGACAAGACTCTACCATGTCTCTTGTTTTCCTGCGATGCCTCTTGCTGGCATGACACAGTGCACACACACAACCTGGGCAGAGGGTCCCAGGCGGCTTGGCATGGGGGGGATGCATGTGATGGGGCTGCTGCTGGGGGCTTGGCATGGCTCTGCTCTTGGCTGGGTGCGATCCAGCCATGGGCCGGAGGATCCTCTGGGGCAAAGCTGTGCAGGGACATGTTCAAATCTCAGCATCTCAAATAGATCCTAAAAGTGGGTATCTTGGTGACTCTCCATCATGACATGTGCTCTGGGACCATTTGGGTTTTTGGGTGATATTGCTGTTTGCCCTCCCCACCCCAGACTCTGTGTTCATGGCAGGGTGTGGGATTTTGGCTCTCTGCTTAGACTTACAAACCCTGTGGCTCAGAGAAAAGCCCTGTAGAGTGTCTGCTCCCCATGTTATGGTAGGAGCCTGGCTATTGAACAGGTGAAAAAATAGTCTGGAAGACAACACAAACCTTTTCTAAGGCTTTTCTGTGCCTCAGTAGCCAAGAGGGGGTCCTTGGGTGCAGTGGAGAGCCAGCATGGGCCCTCCAAGGTTGTGACAAGGGGGTTTTGTCTCAGCTTGCCAAAGCTGATGGAAATCCCACTGGTGGGGTATGGGGCTGGGAGGGAGAAAAGGAGCGTGAGAGCAACCACTGGCACTTAATTGAGTTCATAGCACCATTTCCCATCCCAGTAAGGTATAAACTGCCCAAGCTGCAATTTTAAAGCAAACCTGATCCTGAAGCACAAGAAGGAACAGTGTGGGGAAGGTGGAGCAGCCCTGTATGAGGCTGCAGCTCCTGAGCAGACAGGCGAGGATGCTTGGTGGGCGTGCAAGCTCAGAGCAGGGTGGGTAGCTGCACACGGGGCCGGGCTGTGGGCAGAAGCCCGACACGGGCGAGCTGCATTTGGGGCTGCTGTGACCGGCCTGCACCTCAGCTGGTTTGTTGGGCAGGTATCTCCAGGGATGCTGGTGTGGCAGGAGGCAGGAGCTGGGAAAATCAGTCGCATTTTGCAAGGGAGAAGTGATCCATTAGCTTTGCTTGTTGCTTATAAGTCATTTGATACTAGGGCTATTTAAGGAAACAGAACAGTGTCTGTGCTCTGTGAACAGACAAATTAAGCTGGAAATATTAGCCTCTGCATGGCTGATTTCTGCTCCAAACAGGAATCTGATTTGCAAAGCCTTCAAAACTCATCCAACTTGGCAAGACGCAGCTCATCTTGCTGTGGCTGGAGCCCAGCTGAGGTTATGTGTGCTCCTTTGACAGGAACGAAGGGCTGGCACAGCCTTGGTGCCAGGCAGAGATGTGCCATGTGCCAGCTGTGCGCTGGAGCCAGAGAAAGGGACACTGTCTGAGCAGAGAGAGGCTCCTCAGCAGCCTCTGCGGCTGCTGTGCCAGCATGCGAGCTGGGAATGGTTCTCCCTTCAACATGTTAACAACGCGTTAATGCCATCCCTGAGTCTTTCCCAGAACAGATGGCTTGCGATGGGGCAGAGGATCCCCAGCGGAACGGTCACATCTGGAAAGAAGGGGCTGGACTACTTGAACTGGTGGAGGGAAGTTGCATGGTGCCAACTTCTTGGAGCTGTGGGAAATCAGACAAGCCTCACTGAGTGATGAACCCATCCCACCAGCTGCAGCAGGTCACAGGAGTTGTTCTGTGGTTATTTTCTCCACCTGCAAAGCCTTCCCCACTCTTGTCCTTGGGTCCAGATCTGCCCTGGGAGGCTGTTCCCTGCCCCTTGGCTGTGCTGATCAAGGATCTGTAAAACATATTACGAGGGTGACCCAGCTTGGTGACAAATGTCCCCAAACAGGGAGGAGTGGAGCCTAGAGGTGGGCTGGGGCTGGTAAGGAACCACAGTGGCGGCAATGTGATTATAGTGAGAGCAGCTTTATGAATTAATCGAGTTAGTGAGGCTGCCTCCTTGGGCCGAATAATGACCATCTGCACAGAGCATGGTGCTTTTTTTAACCTTGCTTCGCTGCAGTGGTCCTGTTTCCAGTCCGGCCCTGTGATGAATTGCATTAGCACAATTGAAGAGATGGCAAACTGCAGAGTCGGGGCAAGGACGAGGCACCACAGGCTGGAGCTGCTCCAGCTGGTTTGGCTGCCAGGGAAGATTGGTGGCACAACTCCCTGCTTATAACAAACCTGCTACGACCACCTGATTCTCACTGCTTGTTTCTTTGTGTCTTCCACACTCAGAATGGCTGATTACTCTTCCTTCTGACTCCGTGACCTGAGATTACCTCGGAGATGATGGCTGGCTGTATCTGAAAGATGTAGATTATCCTTAAGCTAAATAATTACGGACGCTTTGTGGTGTGGACTTTGGGCCGTGGGAGTCCAGGACGGGCGCTCCCCTTGTTTCCCAAGGGAGGTGGTGGATCCTCAGCACTTTTCAAAGCCTGTCCGCCAGTCTCTCTCCCATGGCTGCTGATGGTGCGAGCAGGCGTGGACCAATCCTGCACCCTGGTCTTTCCTGGCAGCGCTGGCTCTGGTGCTGGGAATGTGCCTCCGTCGGGCGCGCGGCTGGGAGGAACTGGCCGGCCCCTTCCTGGCCGTTCCTCTGGTCAGGAAGGGCAGGGCTGTTTCTCTCACTATTTACAGTGTGCTTGACAAGTGCAAGTAAATGTGCTGTCAACAAGAGCAAACAGCGTGTAATCGAGGCATGATTGAAACCAGGACGGGAGCGGTGTTGCAGGGAAGCTCTGCGGAGGGCTGCTGTGGCGGAGCTGCAGGCGGAGGGGCGGCTGCACTCCCTTGTATGATGTCCCCAGTGCCTGCAGGGTGGGAAGGGTGAGTGTGGGTGACCACTCTCCTGTCCAATGCCCTGCCTCCTCCTCCTTGCCCTGAGCGCCCTGGTGTGCCCCAGGCACGCACCACACTGTGCACCCACATCCTTCTGCAATCCCTGTTCCCTGGCACCTCACTGCTTTCAGCAACACCCTTTCTTTTTACAGTGGGTCATCTCCTAGACCTTCCTTTGGATGGTGGCCATGTATACCCTTGAGCTGGCACAGCCAAGGGTGCTACTGGCATTAGGGTGGCCATGACAAGCACTTGGGTTGGGGACAAGTGGGGTGAATCTCTCTCTAACCAGGGCGCTTCACTCAGTGGCAGTGTAGTCAGAGCATGATCGGCTGTTTGATGGGGAAGGAGGGGAGCAATTTGCACCTTCTCACTTTGTTTTTGGCCCAAAGTCCTTCCATTTTGGGCTGGGAACCTGCTGCCCTGTCTGTGCCAGCTCTGCTCCAGAGGGTCCTGTTCACCTGCTGCTGTAGGGCAGACCGGGCTGGGCACAGCCAAGGGTGCAGGAAACCTGGAGCTTCATCAGAGCCTGCTTTTCTTCCATGATGCCAACGTGAGAGGCTGGGCAGGGCTAAGCCCATCACAACAGCACCCGGAGGGACAACCTAACCCTGGCTACACACCCTCCCAGCACCCTGCTCATGCTCTCAGGGTGTTCAAATGGAGGAGAAAACCTTGAGGTTTATTCTGCCCCAATAGGGGTTAAAGCATCAGCTGGCAGTACTTATGAGCCAGGTTACAAATGTAAAGCAAATAAGTGTGTTGTTCCATGCCAGTGAGCACAGTCCAGCTCTCACTCTGGGATGGAAAAACTTGTTGCTGAGGACAGACAAAGGCTGTTTCAGTAACGCTGTGAATTCGGGAGGCTGTGCGACTGGAGACGCTGTCCCCCTGTGAGTCAGGCTCCATTTCAGCTC